ACTCGTGAAATTTTTTCGTATCTGAAAAAAAAAACCTTAGAATACTAGAAAACTGGTGAATGCCACAAATTCTCCTAAATCACTCGTACGCACAACTTAAGAACAAATCTGTTCGTACGAACGGTTCTTGCAATGAGGCCCAATGTTTTTAAAGCAACATTTCAGGCATATCTTTACAATAATGTACCTTCTTCTTCCTCTGTGTTTTGTTTTCGCTTCTTTCTGGACTTTGAATTCTTCTTCAGCTTCAGTTCCTGCTGTTCCAGTATAAACTGGGTCACTATGAGAAAAACAGAAGATAACAGAGGTTAAATAAAGGTACACTAATCAGGGAGGAATGAGCTATTTATTGGGTAAAAGACATGCTACAACAGGCTAATAAAACACAAACAATATTAAAAGAAAGAGGAAAGTGAATTATATTAAAAAAACTCAGGTTTCAGACAAACAGGCAGGTGCAAAGTGAAAGAAAGGTGACCCACCCTGTAGCTCAGTCTGAGACTCACATTTCTTGTCGCTGTTGGGCTCTGTGTGTCTCTGGATGTAGCCTTCCAGGTAGCAGCGGAACTTGGGTGACGGGGCGAAGAAAGCCAAACTCACAGCCATGAGCTCCCAGCCCGCCCCCAAGCTCCTGGGGCTGGCGTTGCCCGTTGTTTGCCTCACCAGCTGCACGTACAGCTCGTCCCGCAGCCCCGGCATGTCCCAGCACTTGGTGACGACGAGCAGGGCRCAGTGACGGCGGTCCAGCCGCGACGGCCTGTCTCCCATGTAGGCCTGGACCAGCTTGAACATCTCGCAGGCCTCCTTTCGGACGGCGCGGTTGCTGGTGACCAGCATGGGCTTCTTGATGGAGCCGCGGTTCCAGGACAACATGTTGGCGATGGAGACGCGGCGCCGGAACARCCCTTGGGTGTGCATGTTGAGGTGCTTGCTGGCCCAGTCTTCCATGCCCATGTCGGGAGGGGGAGGTTGCCGCAGGGTGGCGTAGGAGAGCTGGTAGGAGGATCCTCCTCTACTTCCCGTCCCATCRTCTCCTTCTCGATTGTCGCGGTTGGAAGAGCGGTGAGGACCCAACGAAGCTGTTCGTCCATCCACCATGCCTTTCTTTCTGCTCTCCAACTGAGCCTGCAGTTCCAAGGTGTCCGCCTGCAGGGGAAGGAGGAGTAGACATGTAACTGAGAAGAGGAGGACGAGGGAGAACAGAATCGAGAGGACACAGAGAGGGAGGCGAGCACAAACACAAACCGGGTGCAGCAGCAGTTTTCACTGTGTCACACCAGGAGCTGGAGTATTCTTTGCTCTGCGGTGCTGAGACTCGAGGGGAAACTGCAGCAAGATCGGCACATTAATTTCCTAAAACCAGCCGTGTAAGAAGAGAAAAATTCCTCTCTAAATCCTCCTGAACCCTGGCCTCCAGAGTCGGCGGGCACACAGTGGCACAGAAGTTCTTACTCCTTCCCTCCCCACGTCAGGCTTACCTCCCCAACCAAAACCAAAACTTTGCTCTACCCAAGACCTCCCTGTGATCCCTGCAGAGGAGCTCAGGACTTTAAGGAGCACCCAAGCTCCATTAACAGATACAGTCAGCAACTCCGTATGCTCAACAAACAGCCAGAAATAACACGAAGCACGAGCCAAAAAAAAATCCAAGTCCAAGTTTACTACAGGAACAKAAAACACATTAATATGTCTTTTCAATGAGCCACTGGGTAGTATGAAACGATGAGTGCCAGACAAACTGTATCCCAGATTTTGGTTTCTCAATCATGGATGTCAAAACTGAGATGTGGATTTGCAAAAAGTCCACCRTTTGTTTTTTGTTCTTCTTTTTAAACAGCGACACGGGTCTGTTTCTGAACAAATACCTTTGCGTCATGTGGGGATAATTTAGCTGCACTGTGGGTTTTGAAACAGTGAAAATCACATCAGTCTTTTTAGAAATAGTTTTAGTGGATTTTTTTAATTACTGCATRATTTTCGACTGAATACAACAATCTATTAACCTTTTATCAGCAGTTCTGAAGAACATTCCAGCAGATACTCAGGGGACTTCTCTTTGATCTTTTGCTGTTTCAAAACACGCTACAGCCTCAGTTAAACCATTTAGCCTGCCATCCTTCCTCCTCCTCACAACCTGGGCCATATGGGCCACAGCAGCCCTCCTTCCTGACCGAGGGAAGTCATGTCCCGAGTCTCCTGGCCTGGCATGGCCTTTTTACCCAAGAACAAACTTGGCATATGAGCTTTACGGTGCCTGCGGTGCAGGGCAGATGGACGACGGTAAGAGGATGACAGCTATTGCTGGGACTTCATCATAGTCTGCAGAGCTCATCCCACTCATGGTCTAACGTCTTGGGAATATTTTAAATCAATTGCAGAAATGACAAACGTAMCATTAATTGCTTGGTGCTCTGAAATTCAGTCAGTAAAACTAAAGATCACCTTTGTTCCTCACAGCTCTAGTCATTCACACTAAAAAAAATTATGGCGTGCCTTTTAGATTTACAGAACATCAGACAATCTAGTTGGAAGCACMATTAAAGTCCTTACAGTCACTTTTCTTGGCAGAGGAAAGAAGCTAAAAATAGATACAAAAACTGCAACTTAAATTTACCTTTTCATTTCATTTGATTTAGGTAGCATAAAATACAGTCAGAGGTACTAATGCATTGATTTAAACTACTCAAAAAGCTTTTTGAAGCCAGCTGTTTATCTGAGAAGCCAACACTAATAACTAACACAGAACTGTAGGCAACTTTCCGTATGTTTAACCTGCAAACCTACAGAATAATCTGCTGCTCGTCTCCACTGTGTTAGACCCATTTGTTGCTGTGATGATGGTAAGTCCCACCTAACAGCATTTGGACAGTTATTAGAAAAGCACTTGTTCAGGTGCCTCCAGGTTACCAGAAAACTTTGTGCATTTAATACAATAAACAGACAGTAAAAGTCTGTAATCTCAAAATGATTGTGTTGTTTACATATTCAAGTATCTCTGCAGCGTCAGACAGTCATTACAGAGACRGAGTTAAATGACTGAAAACACAACAATGCAACATTCTGACGCAAGGCAGAATCTAAAGATTAGAAAGTAACAGAACTTAAGAGTCAGCTTAAACTGGGTGAAACCAAATCTACAGTGCCGTCTGAGTCRCTCAAAAATAATCCAGTTTGATTTCATCAAATCCAGAGGGTGCATTACTGTTCAGCTAAATAATCATATTCTGCTTGTGAGAACTAGACCCATTACAAAAACAGAAACAAAATATCCCACAACACAAAGACACTTTTTCCAAACACGACTAGGCCTAGTTTGACAGTGAACACTTTTCTAATCTGATTAGTAGTCAGAGGTTTACCAGCTTAAAGGTAAACAAAGTGAATTTAGTTAAGATGGTTAGAACCCAAAACAGAAGTATTTTATCTTATTAGACAGGAACGTACACTTCTATGACATGATTTGACCATTTAGTCATAGAGAAACTAATAAGACTGATAGGAGGTTACCTGGGAAGGTGGTCCTGGAGTCTCTGGTGACGACAGGCTGGCCTGGCTGTTTACACTCATCTCCAAAGTGTCCACCTTTTCATAGGTCCTTTTCTGCCTGCCTGGTATTTCCAAAGGGGTTATGGGAGGGTTACCGTAGTCACCCGTACCCTTTAGTGACCGAGCAGTCCCACTGAYATCCTCTCGTGATGGACACCTGACAGCTGAGCCCCCTCCTCCTCCATACCACCTGAGAGAGTCTGCAGGGGAGCGTGTCCGAGGTACCACGATCCTCTCCCCCATTTCTGGGTCCAGCCCTGCCCGTACCTCCCTCATGGTGTTGGAGCGACTTACCACCTCCCTCATTTCTGCCATAAGTCTCTCATTGAGGGCACACAACTCTCCGCTGCTGCCTACTGACCCCGGCCTGCCCCCCGCTCCTCCACCAGCTACCACCCGTCTCCTGCTTTTCCGTCTCAAGCTGGGAGAAGGGCCGGTGGAGTAACCAGAGTCCTGATAGTTGGCTGTGGCTTGCGGAGTTGAGGAGGGGAAGTCTTGCGAGGCCTGGCTGCTCTGCCTGCTGTGCCGCGCCTCCATGGCACGCTGCACAGTGGCCTCCAGGATCTTCCAGCTTTGTTTTTTGTCCAGTGAACTCCGGCCCGGGGTACCTGGCTCTCTCTCTCTCATCTGGCCTCGGTACTGTTGCGAAGAGTGGCCCTGGGGCTGGGGATGTGCCTGTGGTTGTGTCAAGACTGGRTCCTGCCTGGAGGTGGGGGAAGGGGCTCGTGTGGGCACAGGAGAGTTAGAGGGGTGACCCTGTTTGGGGTCCACGTTGACCATGTGTTTGATGCACTCCAGACCAGCTGGGCTGTAGTCCGATGAAGAGGGATTTCTCCTGTGTCTGGAATGAGCCGAACCAGGGTGCTGGAGGAGYTTAGGCTTTTGGAGACTTTGAGTAGGTGTCAAGCGAGACAGAGATTGCCCGTTGTACAGATGTGCTCCCTCTATCTCCATGTCTGTGGGGGGTTCATCGTATATGGGAGAGTCTGTAACTGGCTCGTCATAAATTGGGGCAGTGCGAGCGTACTGTGGAGAGACGGGGCGTGGGGTGCAGGTCTGTGACCTGTGTAGGAGTGGACTGGGGTGGCTTCCATCTGAAGTCAGCAGACAAAAGCTGCCATTGCTGGCTTTTCTTAGATGAGCCTGTCGTGGGTCACCAGCTATTTTGCCAGAAGGAGCCGTTTTATATCCCTGAMTGGAGGCCATGTGTCCTCCCTGGGTCTTGTCGCAGGAGTTGTTCAGAGTGAAAGCACCGGCTTTGCTATGTACACTTTGCTGGAGTTGCTGCTGCATCATTGGCTGGGGCTGGCTACGGCTCATGCTGTTCACCTTGACCAACATGGCCGCTCTAGAGCCAGGTACTGGCTGCCATCTTTGAGAAGCATCTCTGAAAAAGAAAAAAACGAGATACAACCTCAGTCAAAGCAATAAAGTGCATCTAAAATCTAAAGACACACCAAAGTCAACAAACAGTACCATAAAAGCACCATCATTATATATGATTATTGCTAGCATGACGGGGCTGGGAATCTCTCCAGCAATCCATAAATTCTTTTTCAAACATTTCACTAACCTCTAAAGACCCAACTCCATTTTTAGTCTAGCAGTCAAAATAGTGTCAAAGCCACAAGATAATAACTCCTGTGTGTGTTTTGTGCAACTCAAGTGCCTAAAAATACCAAGTGAGTGCACATAACACATCTATCCACAGTTCCTCTAAACAGGTATGACTCATGTCTGGTGAGTGTGTTGGGTTTGTTCATCAAAATACTTGAGTAAYTGTAACAAAAAAAGAAGAAAAAAACATCAACATCTGCTTATCAAATCATTGAAAAAAAAGCCAACCATTAGACCACAACGATCTGAATGAAATTCAGAGCTGCTGTGTGTTTCATTTGAGGTTTTCATTTGGGTTGAAAAGACTTAGACTTCCTCCAAGTTGAGCAAACAGGCAAACATCAAAGCCAAGAGCTCGCCGCTAATCCCAACAACGAAAAACAATCTGCCATCAATCTGGTCACGCTGCTCTGGGCTGCTGCCCTGAACTCTGCTGTCGCCTTATAATCTTCTTCTCCAATCCCATTCCTCAACTGATCAAAAACATGCCGTCTCAATCTGGCATTACAACACGTACGGATAAACACAGATAGCGTCCATCTTCAGAAACACGTGAAAATATCTACGTTCTAGTTAATGCAAAAGGTCAAAAAGGCAAATGACTTTAAAGTAAGGCCAAGCGGACTTACCCCCAMTCCACCTGAGACTTAGCATTCAGCTTGATAGGTATTTATATTAAAGCTGATTATCTTGGAAAATCTAAAACAGAATAAAGCAGAGGCAAAAAAAAGTTCTGTTTTACGGCAAAGTTCCTTTTCTATGAGCTCTCAGACTTTACAGTTGGGCTGTAAYGACAGGAAGAGGACGGAGAGGGGAGGAGAGAAGGAGGTGGAGTGACCCCCCCTACACCCCACCGTCTCTCTGGAACAATGCTGGAACAATTCCCCTGAGATCCCTCACACTAACGGCAAACTTCCTTTAGTCCTCCATCTCTCTCTCACTCTGGACCCCCCGGCAGAGTGAGTCGCACTGCCTCAGCCGTTTGAATGTAAACACACTTGTCCTCACACAGACTCRTCCAATCAGGCATGGCCTGTAAACAGCTGGGTCGCAGCCACCTGGCACACCACCCAAACACGCTGCCCCAACCTCTGATGTCGYCTCACAGCCCCTGCCCCACCGAAAGCAATCAAGACAGTTTACTGCCCATTTAACACATCCACAGACAGACGTGTGAAGACAAGCTCTGACAAACCACTGTGTAGCTGTTACGAGCCAGCGTGAGTGTGTACGCTTACACAGGGTGGTCGGCGGATAGGCGACAGTTGTAAACATGCAAAACCTCTTTGAAACGGTGGGGTTTTATCAAACAGGAAGAGGTTCCGCCTCAGCAGGTGAAGCACAGCTGACTCATTAGCACCGGTTTGCCATCACGAGAGATCAGATGTGAAACACAGGCAGCCAGTCACACAGCTGGATTTCACAGACTTTCCACAAATTAATCCACCTCTGAGGTTCATTTAACGAATTTGAACAAAACATGATTGTGCCTTTTTATAATCTCGTTGAGCGAGCGGAAAACTTGACGGACAGGACTGACCCGGACAAAGAAGTGACCACTACTTCCTGTATTTAGAGTTCCTCTGGAGGTTTGAAGAGAGGGCTTCCACATATTCAGCACAAACAGGAAATGCTTAATGTAATGTTCACACGCTGCATTCAGACGGAAATAGAGCTCATAGAGGACTTTATGGTTTAGTTTATCCATAAAATGTTTTAGAACCTCAGTTCCAAATGGATCTTTAAAGCCTTAATGTTTAAAATTATGACACAGAGTATTAAAAAAATGTTGCCAATTTCCCGATTTTGCCTCTTTGTGTCATTGTTAAATTCAGACAATTTATTATAAGATTAGAACATTTCAGGTCTGAAAATGGACACTACATAAGAAGGGCAAGACCGGCATGTTTAAATGTGTGAAGGACAACGTTCTAACAAAATCGTTTAGTTTTTTACCAATATTATTATTTTTAAACTTTATGAAACGCCTTAATGAAATCCACAGTGATGAAATTTTTAGTTGTATTGTTTTAATAAGTTATATTAGGTTTTAACCATTTTTACTGAACATAACAGAACATAACAGAAACATTGCAAATACACAGTTTTCACACGCAAAAGGAGTGGGCAGAAGTATATATTAGCCCAACTCTTCTCCTGCAACCTTATGCCCATCATGTGCTGATGCATCTCAGTAATCCAGGTAGAAAAAAAATCAAAAAGAAAAAATAAGTAGGTCCTCTGGATGGGTTCTTCTTTAGTGAAACGTTTCGTCTCTCCTCCAAGAGACTTCTTCAGTCTGATGAGTTTCAGGTGAACTCAGCCTTACGCTACGTTTACACTGAATGCGTTTTGAGCGGCAGTAGCGTCCGATTCACATGCAAAGTCTATGGTGGACGTGCCTCTAGGGGTCGTGCGTCGCGTCACGGACGTTTTGGGTGGCACGAAAGGAAGGCGGAAAGGGCGCAGAGCGTTTTCCGCGCATGCGGTGCTGCGGAAGCAGCCGCTGCCCGAGCCGCCGCCAGAGTTCAAATATCTGAACTTTTCGCCGCTCGACGCGTCTCCCACTGAAAACCGAAACAGACGGACTGCAGATCTGTACCTGAAATTAACCGTGTGCAGTTGGATTTTCTGGCAGGAAATATCAGCACCGATGTGGATCAGCTGCTCGGGACAAAAAAAAAGAGAAAAAAGTCCGTGAGCTGGCAGCTTCTGGGGTGACRACACTAACCGAACAAATCGCCTCTAAATCATCTGGTGAGTTAATTATCTGCTGTGCGCAATGTTCGCTTGCTTTTTAGTAAATAAATCAAAGCCATTTTCTTTTATTTTATCTTTATTTCACCCGCCGAGGACACGCTCCTCCCACACCCCGCTGCTGCTGCTTGTTCTGGTCTGAACACTAGTGCGTCCAACGAGAGGCGTTTTGTGCTTTTTGGCCGCTCAAAACGCGTTCGGTGTGAACGTAGCATTTTAAGCACTGCCTCCACATGGTGGACAAAGAGGTCAGTCACATGCAAAAGAGGGCCATCGCTTAACAAAAGGCATGATTAGCTCTATTGTTCATAGAGGGTGTGCCCCATCACCTGACTTATTGGTTTGGATGCTGCGGTTCTTAGGTATCGTGTCATGTGTATGTAGTGAGTGCAGGCGGGACTCAAAGTCCCCTTGCGGGGACTTAAGGCTGAGTTCACCTGAAACTCATCAGACTGAAGAAGCCTCTTGGACGAGAGACGAAACATTTCACTAAAGAAGAACCCATCCAGAGGACCTACTTATTTTTTCTTTTCGACTTATTCCCATCACTTCTTATTTTTTAAAATAATTATTACTTAAAAACAAATGCATCCAACAACGCTGTCACCTGCAATTCCCTTTTACTTTAAAACCTTTTAAACTTGACAGTTTTCCTTCAAGATTAAACTGTTTAATTTAAAAGTTTGTCCTTAAAACCTGTTGTTTATGGTGAAGAGAAAAAAATTAATAACCATCAACAAACATTTTCACTGAATCGAAATTAATCGATTCAGAACTTTATGAATCGAAATTAATCGATTTAGAGAATTGGCCATGATACCCCAAAAGCAACAATCTGGATGTTGGCACAGACTAAACTATCATTCTCGTTATAAAGTCATTCACTCCTACATTAAAGTAGTCCAGCCTCTTCAGTCTTGACTCGAGCCTTGTTATTATGTGACACAGCAGACACTTATTACCAGTAAAACAGAGGTCAACAGAAAGCATGGTTGCACAATCTAAAATTAAAAGAGCAACCAGGACAGCACAATGATGAGAAACTTCATCAGACACGAGTTATTTGGAGCTGGTGGTTTTAATGTGGCCCGCGAAGCAGCAACAGAAATGAGAAGGAGCGTGTGTGAGTGAGAAGGGTGGAGATTAGTCGTGGGAGAGTGCAGCASGGGAATGAGCGGGAAGACAGGAATTCCTCAGGGCTCATTCCGAGGCCTTTGTGGCAGGGAGCGGGAGTCTCACACAATGCATGGCTGTGCCATCGTCACAGAAACACCCCCTTCAATGGACAGCTATGAAGAACAAGGAAGGAGCAGAGAAAGAGCCGTCTTTGACCCCGAACTGATCGGGCAACGTCCAGGTTACGTAACACCAAACAGGCCTGGGTGTCAATCTAACCACAAAGAAAAGTTGTTTGGAAAGGGTGTGTTGCCTGCTAGCAGGTGTTAGCTGAATGTGGGCTGAAGGGTGGGATTATCCACAACAATTTATCACCCAAGTTAGAAAAGATATAATCATTTTTAATTGGGAGTGTAATAAGTCCCGCTGTTTGAAGACTGTGGATGATTTTTATCTTTTATCAGATTCAATTAAAACACATCCATCGCGTGCGGTTACACTCAACATGCATTTACAAACTGTCTCATTCAGATGCTGAAGCTAGCCTGAAAGACCTTCTGGAAGATAAACATTTGACGCCCTCAGGGAAGAAATGAGATCATCTGATTGGCATCTGAAGCAACAAATTCAGCAAATCTCAATTAGTCTCAGCCACTGTGCTGCCTTGAATACACACATGTAGTCCAAAAAAACCCTTTGTCACTTTACTGGATATTCCCAGGGGTTGATTAGTCTCAACAACGCATTAAATGCTACAACAACCAGCCAACTTTCACTGTATGCTCTGAATAACACAACACTTTTTGTATTCCCAAAAGACGAGGCATTTTAAAAGAACAGATGTGATTTTAGAAATTCCAAAATAAAAATCTCTGCGAATAGTGAGGTATAAAAACAAGTTATTATTAACATTGGCTGAACAGAAAGAGGAAATGAGGTCATGCAGACCAAGCTACCGCTGCACAAACACCTCAGAGTAGACAGATGAGAACTGCAATCTGCGAAGAGGAAGGAAACTGAAGACACAGAGGAACCACTAAGATTAATGATAAATCCATTTGGCCAGTGTTTCAAACTTTGTTCTGCTTTGTTTTTGACCAGTCAGAATCATATTTTGAGTGGGATTTGTTTGAGGTGAGGCTGGTAGCGTACTAGTTCCTGTAAGACACCTCCAGAGAGACAGCTGTCCCGCAACAGCTGAACTGACACACCTCCCTCCACCGAGCCAAGATGCCTAGCAGCTGTGTCGGTCGGCGGCTCCCGCAGGCTGTGAGGAGTGCCRGGCTGGGTCAAAGGACAGCCAGTACTTCTCTCTCTGAGGGGGGACAGCGTAAAACCAAACCCAACTGGATTCCACCGAGACTCGTCTCTGGAATCTGAAAGTTTATCTGCTGCTCTTTTTTATGCTCTTCCAGTAATAGCATGACAGTACTGAAACTGCAGCCAGTCTCTGCTCTCATGAACGGGGTCAGAAATGCTAAAGAACAGAAAAAGAGCAGCTCTGTAATACGCAAAAATACCCCGTGTCTGATAGAGCAAGTCAGCTGAGGGAGGGAAAGCTGCGTGCCTTGGGCCGGTTCAAACCCGGTGCTACAGATACTTTATAAAGAATTCTCAACACCACAAAAACAGACAGAGAGGCTAACTGTAAAAAGATGGGAGGAATAAAAGCTGAAAAAACAATAGGAGGTTGTGGACACAATGCTTCAGTAAAACTCAAAGTCTGTAATAAAGTTCCCAAGGACGACATTAACTTTCCAGTCCTGTGAAAAACAAAAAACAAAGAAAAAAGACCAGGATTTWAAAAAAAACGCACATGGACAGTTTCATCTAGACAAAAGAAAACAAGATCAACAAGTGGCTTTTTTTTTGTAAATGGAAAAAAAAAAAGAAGAAAAGAAACTTTAAAACAGGATCTATAAAGATCTAAAAAACGAGCTTACCACGCAGGGAGCAYCGAGATAAAAGTCCTTCCAGTGTGTATCTGTGTGTAAAAATGTTGTGGCTACGTCCTCAGAGTGGTGGGCGATAAAAGACTTCAGCTCAGGCTGTAAACATGAGCTGAGTGTGTGATTCATTAAGAGCTTTATCTAGCCTTTAAAACTCACCCTTATTTCCTAAATAAACCCTACTACTGATTTCTCCCGTATGGCTCACAGCCTGTTAGTCACAAGCACGTTAGAGGAAGTTGGTCAGATTGGTTCATTTTTAGTTTGTCCTACTTTTACTTTGTTGGAAAAAAGAAAACAACACCACAGACAAACTTCCCTAAAACTAAAATATTATATATACTGTATATATGTATACACCATTTTAACAAAAGCTCTGTAACATTAATAAAATCAAATATATTCTTCACYTGAAGTTTTGAAGAACAGAAGAGCTACCATCATTGGCTGCCACTTTTAAAACACTGAGCAAATAAATACTAAAGTTCACAAATATATCCGTTTTTTAACATTTTTAGGGTAATCTAAAGCGAGCAAATAATCAGGAAATGTGAGTTTTAAGCGTCGAACACCAGTGTGACCAGCTTTGATTACACAGCTATGTTATTACTGAACTAAAGCAAGAGAACACAGAAGCAGGTTTCATGTTTCTCTCTGTTCAGAAAACATAAATGTCCTGTTAAAAGAATGCGCTCAGTTAATCCTGGGACATTAGGTTCAGAAATGTTTTAATGGACTATTATACAGCCTGAGGCAGTTCATAAGACAAAAACAGGACTATGACAGATGCAAATTACCACGAGTCATTTCTGGCGTCTCTGACAACCTTGCAGTCAAGGGAAAAAAGAGAGCGAGAGTGAGGTAGCATCAAGACAGCGATGAGAAGTCGTCTGTCCGAGGCAAAAATCCAAAACCTCATAACAAGAGCCACTGCAGCGAGCCTCCCTGACACGATTATGCACAAGCAGGTGTGTAATTCAGGTCTGTGCAGACTGAGGCAGGTGTGAGACTGTTCAGGTCACAGCAGGTGATCTGTTCAGATTTTAAGTGCAGACGTTTAGTTTCATTGTTTATCATCTGGTTGATGTGGATTATCTGTTCAGCTTGACTGAATATTTATTAAAATGGATGAGAATAAACGCTTCTGAAAGTTTTATTATCATCATTTAAAACAATACGGTGACAGGTAAAAATAGATTATGTCAGAATTGTTTTGGCCCTGTCAGTCAAAATATCAGTTCTTTGTTACCTGCTTAATGACGAAGTGTGCAAAACTGAACACAGGCGTTACAAACTTGATGATGTTGAACTTCTTTTTTCGTTGGTACAAATTACTTTCCCTTTGCTCGTGGAGCTCTTGGTACTTCCCTGATGAAATGCACCGGCTCAAAGTACCCAGAAATTCCCAGGATGTGTGATAAGACTTGGCCAATGATTCACAGATGTGGCACTCAGCCAGACGTACAAGCATACTCGTGCATTTGCAGTTGTGGACTAATTGTGAACAAACTCAGCACACACATATGAAGAAATGTAGTTCTTTCAGCTTCTTGTAAAGAGAGTTGTGAGAAAAACAGCCTATTTCTCCTAAAACACTTTGTTGTTGTATATAACAAAAGGAAACCAATACTGTCTACACTGAGCAGTATTGGTAACATTATATTGTGGCTTTACCTGAAATACAAAAAAAGGGAGGAAAGGGGAACAGACATGTTTTAAATAGATCAGAAGTGGAAAAAGACCCAGAAACTTGAGAAAGGGGAATGACCCATCTATGGAAATAAAAAAGATGACCAGAAGTAGAAAGTAAAAATAAAAACTAGATCATCTCCGACACTCTGCTCTGCTTGGAACAGAACAGAACAATCAGATGACCCTTCAAGCTATTCATTCAAACTTTCTCACTTGCTCTCACTCTTTTTCCCTCCTTGTCATTATCAACAAGCTGGACTATTAAATTCAGTTGAAGTTTCTTTTCATGTGTTCTGAGCTGACACATTCCAGCCTCTGTGCATTTTRTGGTGGTGTCTAATTACCCGCTGAGAGGCTGCGAGGCTGCGAGCCGAGCGGTGAGCATGTGAAGGACCATATGGTTAAGTAGGGTATCAAGTCCCAAACAGCAAAAGACGCCTCAGCTTTCCATTGGAGCACAGCTGGCCATTGTTTTGAGGGGAGACAGGAAAGGTTCTGGGAAAGGTTGAGTCACTGGGGTTAGTGTGGAACCCTTCAGAGCGTCAGCTCCCTCACATTCACCAAATGCAATTTAGTAAGACCTTCAGTTATTTCATCCGACGTTCAGCTCAGTGCCGTACCAAGATACCCGTTGAGACGAGAGACCCATCAACATCCAGGACCAGTCAAATGGGTCTGAAGAACAGGAGTTACAGCAGAAAAACCTCTGAAACAGCAGGGCCTGCCTCGCTCATAAGCAGCAGGAATGTAGCGGTTCTGCTTGTTATTAACCACAAACAACACTCTCTCTCTCGTGCCTCCCATACACGAGCATTAGAGGGGTTACAGGTTTCTATGGCCTGGGGCCTGGATTTGTTTTAGGAAAAAGAAACGAGCGCTGCATCAGAGCAGAGCGAGGTGGCGGTCAGCACACAGAGGGACACTTGAGATGGCCCTTGTGGCCACACGCCAGGGGAAACAGGAGCTCCACGTCTGGTATTTGCCTTGGAATACGGAGAGGCAGTTTGAGTGAGGCTACAACACCGAGAGCATGATGGGGTCTCTGAATGACTTACTGTTGAGGCTCGTTCCGCACCAGTAACCTAAGCGCGAGGGGAAATGTCGTGGTTTCGAACATAACTGACCGTTTTCCTCCATTTGGTAGTGATTTGTTAAAACGGTTGCGCATGGTTCGCAGGCAACCGTATGGAAAACGTGGGACATTTGGAATGCTCAGATAAGTGAGAAAGGGGCCCAGATGGTCAAAGRTCAACATGATCTTGCAAATTCTCACAACCGACACATTTGAAAGTCTTTAAAACTCACTACGCTACAAGTTGTGATGAGTATCACATTTCCTCTGCTCATGTTTTGTATGGGCTGCTTAATGTTTATTCAGACTTACCTCTGCAGGTCTTTGCCGTCGTTGATGTTGCTTTCTATGCTGCTTCCATCTCCCTTCGATCTGCCGCCCACAGCCGGGTCCAACTCGGCGTTAGCGGTTTCCTCTGTGGGCTCCCCGGCTCTGGGCGGTGGACAGTCAATGTCCTGCTCTGGCAGAGGGGTGCCCAGCCCCTGGCTCCCCAAGCTGCTGATACTCCCCGTGGTCCCAGGATGGCACTTCTCTGCACCCCCTCCAGCCTGCCGGGCTTCGCTGCACCTCTTCATGGCCTGGAGCTGCGAGAGCGGCACTATGTCGGCTCCCTGAGGTCTATGCCAGACCGTGCGGCGCCCTGTCGAGTTGTAGTAGTAGAAGCGGCCACTTTGGGGGTCAAACAGCTCCCACCACTGGTTGCCGTCTGCCTGGCGGACAGGAACGCCCGAAGGAGGATCCCAGCCGCATTCGCCTGTGGCTAAATTGACATACATGCGCTCACGGGAGCGTGGCTCCAGGATCTCCACCCAATCAGAGCTGAGAAGAAACAAGGCACAGGATAAAGAATTACTTCCAGCTGAAAATGACAAGAGATTCTTCACAGACAGGAAACAACGCTCTATTAGAGGCAATGGTCACGCCTGAGCACTAATCAACTAGACAGGCAGTAAACAACTCACACTGTTTGACAGACTGGGAGGTTTAAAAAATGCCCTCTTGTCCATATGGAGGGAGTGTTAAAATTTGTGTTCCCTACATGCATCCATCTGTAAGAGCTTGTGTTACAAGTGATGTCATCTCTGAGACAGAGCTGAAGAAGTAGCGGCGTGTTTCCTGAACAAGGAGACAGGTGGACACACTCGCTGGGATGCCAGGCTTGGAGTCAGCGGGGCCCAGGGGGAGCTGTACACTCAGAGAGCTACGCACAAACCACAGAGCTCAACTAACAACCGCCAGCTCAGCACAAAACACAACTACACAACACAAGAGACGGTGCAAAAAAGGGGGCGATATGGAGAGAGYAGAAAAATAAAACCCAAAGCAAACAGAGGAAAACTGTTATATTTAACTGAGCAAGACTTTTGACTTGAAAAGCCACCAAACTATACTGCAAAAATCTTGAGCTGTCCCTTATCTTTTATAAAACAGTCTGAAGTTCTTGTAAAAAGTTTGCTTTTGGCAAATTTTACCACTCATTTTTCCCCCAGCCCATTTCCAGACTATATTCAAAGGAATGTTTTGGTTTGTTAATCCACTTAACTCTGATATGTGAATCATTCAGGCATAAAAAAATAACTCCAAATCTCAAGAAATGAATCTGTGTTGKGTCGACACAAACAAACAACCTAGCCAAGAACCAAATTAGATTGTATTTGCAGAATCTGTTAATAACTGCTTGTTGCCAGGATAGAAATTATTTTAACTATTTAGTGGCAAACTCAAAAAGAAAAAAAAAATACAAACTGGCAGGTATGAAAATACTGCATTTGCACAAAAATGTTTCCCAAAACATTCTTAGACAAACATTTAGCACACCGTAGATAAAGTAACTAAAAGACAACACATGTCACAACACTAAGGGTTCAGTGAGTTTTTATGGGTATACTACTGCTCAAAATGTCATGGTCAGATATACAAATTAGACATTAAAGTAGGAGATAAAACAGCCACAGTTCAAACATTTACACACACACACACACACACACACACACACACACACACACACACACAC